CAGCACTTTATAGGTCTGCTGTATGGGACCACTTTGCATTTTGAGTGACCAACGATGACGGCGGAAAGAAAGTTGTGGATAAAAGTGCAACAGTGTGCAAGCATTGTGCAACACGTTTTGTTTATGCTAACAGCAACATGACCAACCCCGAATGCTAACCCCGAAATCCCTCATACTCCGTCAACGCGCCGCCCCGCTGCTCTCAAGACCGGCTGCTCAAAGCAAAGCATACAGCCTCCACTGTGGCTCCCGTCCGCTCCTCTCTGAGTCCCTTGGAGATGGTAGACAGCATGCGCGAGATGATTAAATTCAAAGCAGCAAAACATACGGAAATGATCCAGGGTTTCCGCGGATCATTAAAAATAATTTCAATCCATAATTTTTGGGGGGATTTTTGCACTAATTTCATAAATTTTTATGGGATTTCGGTGTAACAATCAACATATACCGAATCGAACCGAAAACCGTGACCACGAAACCGTGAATCGAACCGAACTGTGGCTTTTGTGAACCGTTCCACCCCTAATATATATATATATATATATCCCAACAAATTGGATGGCAATGCAAACTTTGAAGGAAAAGATTTCCTTTTCCTCCTCTACCAGAAAAGTAGCCCTGCAGAAACTTAATAAGCTAATAGTGAGAAGGGTTGCTTAGCAACAGAGGCTCCTCTTAATGCCATCTCTGCATTTATTTCTAGCTAAGGCTGGTAACGCAAACTGTAGTCGTTCAGCCCACAGTAGTAATTGTGAAAATGGTCTGAGGCCAGGATCATATTTCAGACAGTAATGGTGTTCTCTAAAGGCCTTTACAGGAAGGAGCCTTGAGTGGAAAATAAGAAACCCTCACCATGATGACCAGCAAGATATTCTGGAAGTCCTCCCTGTGGCCCAGAGCGTGAGTGATGAAAAGGGCAAAGTTTCCTTCCAGCAGCTTTTCAAGTTAAAAGACATCATAAGGAAAAAGTCAGCAGGGTTGATTATAAAACTAGAATCAGATTTCTTTAGCAGGCATTGTAACTGAGCAGATTTTACAGAGAATTTTTACCATGAAGGCCAGAGATGTGAAGAGGAAGCCAATGACCAGTTTGACGTAGGGTCCATGACTTACAATCACCCAAAGGCCTTGGCGGAAGGTGAGCGGCGGAGCTGATGTTTTCCGACCGCTCCCTAGAAGACAACAGGAATATAAGAACAAGGAAAACTAATCAACAGTCCCAAAGCTTAGAAATGTTACATCTACATTTTTTTATTAAACTTCTTAATATGTGAAAAAAGAAGCTAATAAAGGCAGAAACCCCATGACCTTCATATGCAGTTTTTAACACCGTTACTGTTAACTGAAGAGGATGATCCTTAAAGTTAAACAGTGTCTGTGTATCACACTCAGAGCTAAAGGTTACCCATGCTTTACAGCACAGTTCAGAGAAGGGATCTCAAATACTGACTGTCTGAAAACTAAAGGCTTAAAACAAACAAGGTTGTCAAAACACAAATGATCGAACGGTTGTTTACCTTTTTGCTCCTTCACACCAAAAAACAGGACTGCTGCACAAAAGACGTAGATGATGCAGATGACTCCCGAAGCTAGCAAGTACGCTCGTTTCTAAAGGAAGGGAAACAAGGAGGGGACTCAGAATGATCGTCTTAACACTCACAAACATTTATGATGTGACTTCAGTCGGCCCATTTCTCAATTCCTTTAACCACTGCTGGAGGAGAAAAAGAAAGTCATTCTAACCACTCTTTTTAAAACCGCTAGAGCTTAGTGGTAATGGAAGGACATCATCTCCAAACATACAGGAGCTACACATGTAGTATATCATGAGAAAGTTGATTTACTTCTGTATTTCTATTCAAAAAGTGAAACTTGTATATTAATTTGTTACACACAGTCTGCAAAAATGATCTAGAAATAAGTAAAAACTTCTTAAATTAAGTGTATTTATCCTTATTCTAAGTAGGTAGATGAGATAGTTTGCCAATGGAATGAGTATTTTTACTCTTAAAATAAGATAATTAGAGAATATGCACTTGAAATAAGACAATGCAATTGTGTTTTATTATTTTAAGTGTAAATTGTTTTGTTCAATTGGCAAAATGTCTCTTTTACCTCCTCAATTCAAGAACAAATGCACTTATTTTAAGAAAAAATTACTTCAATTACTTCAAAAAATGACTTTCAATTAAGGCTGTGTCTGAATATCTGCCCTATTCACTTTATTGGGCCAGTGGATGAAAAATGAGTGGACTCCAAAGTTCACAACATGCACCCTGAAAAGTAGTGATCATCCATGGTCACTAGATAAGCAGATATATTCCAGATTGCTTTGCGAGAGCTAGCCTTGCATCATGCCATTTGTTGTGGCGATGACAAAGATGGCCCAGGCACCGTTCAGGGAGGCGGAGTTACATGACCAATGGGGAGCAGAAAATTAGTGATCATCGTGCACAGATGTATGCAGGACATGAGTTTCAGGTGTTGCATTCATTGTGTTAGGCCATTTGAGCAAGAGACAGAACCATCTCACTTGGGCTAAAGACTAAAAGGATTGGACTGCTGCTGAGTGGTCCAAAGTTATNCCTTCTCAATTCAAGAACAAATGCACTTATTTTAAGAAAAAATTACTTATCTAGATTTCAATTAAGGCTGTGTCTGTATGTCCGCCCTATTCACTTTATTGGGCCAGTGGATGAAAAACGAGTGGACTCCAAAGTTCACAACATGCACCTTGAAAAGTAGTGATTATCCATGGTCACTAGATGAGCAGATATATTCCAGATTGCTTTGCGAGAGCTAGCCTTGCATCATGCCACTTGTTGTGGCGATGACAAAGATGGCCCAGGCACCGTTCAGGTTGGCGGAGTTACATGACCAATGGGGAGCAGAAAATTAGTGATCATCGTGCACAGACATATGCAGGACATGAGTTTCAGGTGTTGCATTCATTGTGTTAGGCCACTTGAGCAAGAGACAAAAGCATCTCACTTGGGCTAAAGACTAAAAGGATTGGACTGCTGCTGAGTGGTCCAAAGTTATATTCTCTGATTAAAGTATATTTTAGATTTTTTTTGGAAATCAAAGGCCTAATATAATCTGGAAGAAGGGAGGAGAGGTACAGACTCCACTTTGCTTGACATCCTATGTAAAGTAGTCAGTAGCTGCATTTCCATTAACCATAAAATTACGCAAAAAAATTACATTGCAATTACATAAATTAATTTTCTAAATTGAAACACTGCATTTTTGAAAAGAAAAAAAGCATACAGTGTTAGATAAAATTTTTTTGCTTCTATGGGATTTTTTTTCCAGTTCCATCGAAATTATTATATTTCCAAAAAATGCAATGGAAACACTTTTTTTAAACACCATATTTCAAATGATCAAACAAAAGTTAATGCCTTGTTAAAAGGCAAAAAAGAAGAGTGGAAGTAGCTGAAGGATTCATAAGGAGACTGAATATTTTTTTTAGCATTTAGTTCATGACAATGAGGCAGAAGAGCCCTAGAGCATGGCTGAAATATGGATAGATCTCATTACATCCACCATGTTGTTTTTAGGAGTTATGACCTGAACAAACATATTCACCTGCTGCAACTTTAACGTTTTTTTTTTAAATGTTTTTATAGAAATATAGCAATTGCAAAAATATGTATTTTTGAAATGAGCAGAATATTTATAAAGAAAACACAGCTAGTGATGGTTAGGGTTGACTTTTCACAAATTATATTAGACAATATTCTAATATAATTGTCAGAATTTATATAAACACTTGAAATATATTAGTCCTTGTTAATGAATAAATCTTACAAGTTTCACTTTTTGAATGGAAACACTGTTGAAAAATAACCTTTTTCATGATATTCTAATTTTTATGACACCTCTGCATCTTCAGTCCCATGGCAGCTCTAAAGGATTTCCATAGCTTCATGCTGCCAACACCGTGCAGTAACAGTGTGTTATAGAATCACATTTTTTTCCTAGACTACAGGGGGCTGAAAACAAATGCAAAAAAAGTTTCAGATTTCTATCAGTTGAGAAATGAATTTTTTTTCTACGTTTCTGTTACCTTGTTTTGGTCCATGACAAAACATACCAATAATTCTTATGAAACTGAAGGAAAAATAAAATGGATCAAAAAAAATTCTTGTCTCAGACACTTACTGAATCTTCCAGTGAAACTATGGTAGTGTTTAAGGTGGTGTTGGTGCTGTTGTGGTCTTCAGGCTCAGTGGGACAAGTGGAGACTCCGCCTACTATCTGTCCCTGGATTGCCGTTCCCAGCACTGTGCCCAGCACCTCAACCGTCATACCTAAAGGTCCACAAAGTTTGCAAAATCAGCACATTTGACAAAAAAATTAATAAAAAATATACATATATACATAAATGAATCAAGTGGAGTGTTTAACATACGGTAGGCGGTGGCCGAGTCTCGCTCTTTCTGGTCATTGCTGATAAACATGGTGAGGGCCGAATATGGCACATGGAAGCACTGCAGTCAGAAAAAAGCCATTAGCTAAAGAAGTGTGACGGAGAGAGGAAGAAGAAGTAACTGATGAGGTACCAACTAACCGTCTGCATTGACTGAAAGAGGCAGTAAAACACCAGGTACCAGATGACCTTTCCTTCCTCAAACGAAGGCACGTACCAGATCAGGATGTAGGTGAGTACAGCAAAGGGAGTTGAGCAAAGGATCCTGCACAGAAATGAGTGAAACACATCAAGGACTTGATACTTTTTAAAAAGTTTCAGCTTGTAAATACATGAGGGATTATGAAGAAAACTACATATTTACTTCCTTTAAATAAACCAAGGAAACTCAAAAATACAGCATCCATCCATTACGACTGTGTTTAATTAATTATCCACTTGTTTTTTTTTATCCCAGTCAGATTTACAGTCACTGCTTTTCTTCTCTTTGTGAATAATCCCTCTAATCCTTCCTGGTCAGCGCTGGTCCCTGGAGGAAGGGTTGAGGCAGGGCAGCATGAGGTGATGAGGGGACTCTGACCCCACTGCCTTGTAACGGCCACCTCATGCTTCACAGGTCCTAGAAGTTCACCTTCTGCCCATGTTTGAGGTCTTTTGTGTGATTTTTTTTTTATTTTTCGGGATCACCCTCTATTGACCGCCATCTTCTCACTCTGCAACATAATGCTGGTGCTTCTTTGTGAGCAGGGTGTGTTCAGGTTGAGTGTTATTTTCTCCCATACAAAGAAGTCTCCAGCTAGGCCGAGTCAGCTATGGTTTCAAGTTCTCTGACCTGACTTCTGGGAAACAGTTAACAGCTTTCTTTAACTCTATGTTTCCACAGTCCACTTCTTCATAGGATGTCAAAATTGGAGTGTGTAAAACAAACTCATTTACTGTCTTGTCACTTATTGTATTTATAGCATCATGATAAATGGGGCTGTGAAAATCTTCAACTTCCCCTTTGCAGAAAAAGCTTAATAAATTAAAGGTTAAATAAAGTTCAGCAAGGCATTGAAAGTGTTGGGGTTTTTTTTTTTTAGCTTTTATGTGTCTGAGATTCATGAAAGGTTGAAAGCTAAACTGTTTGGAGGTAAATAATATACTTAACTAACAAACAAGAGAACCTGGCTCTCACAAATATTAGTTGCAGTTATTCTTTGTCTTCAAGCTTTCATGTACTGTAAATTAAACATTTTCTTCCCTCTTTGACGTATCTATAAACACAGAAGAATGTTTCTTTGTTGGATAAGAGGCCTGCAGCTGGTAAAACTGCAACTCTGCCTCGTGTAATAATATTTAAGCCATTCTAGTGTCACTAAATGACACATCTGCCCTAAAGCTATCAGGAGGCAAGTGACACAGGAAATAACCTCAAACTGCTTAAGATCATATAGTTAAGATAGTTTTTTTTAATCAAAACAAAATTAGCAAGTTGCATGAATAATTTATTAATGTGTTGCATTTAAAAAATAAAGTTTTTAAAATAAACTTTTTTTTTAATTGTTTGACCCCACATGGCTTTAAAAACAGTGCTTCTCTAAACTCCCCTTCATTATCAGGAAACCCACATGTGGCGCTCATGGTTTAGCCTTCTCTAATTGGCTGGATCAGATGGTGTGTTGTGGGTGGGACCAATCACAGCAGACGCCGGGGAACTTCCTCATACCCGCCTACAACTGCTCTGCAGTCCTTGCTCTTTAAAGACCTGCTGGCTGCCGAGTATGAGAAATCAGTCATTGCATCAGCTTCTGCTGCATATTCAGGCTCCGCTTTAAATATCGTTACTGACTCAAATATTGTTGTAGCTGTGGTGAACAAACCAACTCCCTGATGAAGCTCAGACATTTAAATAAAACCGCTGGGATCATTACATGCTATAAAGAGGAGCATACATGTACATTTTACAGCTTGAACTTCTGTTACCCCAGTTTCAGTCTTTTTAAAGGTTTATATGCAGGGTGTAATAAAGATCAGACTTTCAGCAGAAGACGCTTCTAGATCCGGTCCTCATTATTCCTCATCGAGCTATTAGGACGTTTTAAGTCACCCCACATTTCTGTGGTGTTTATTAATAAAGCAGCTAGAGTTTAAAAATAATATCAGACTGCATCTTTCCAACTATCAGCCCCTTCTTTCCTTTTAGCGCCTTCAGCCTTGCTGCCATGGTTACTGAAGAAAATGGGCTTTTTCTGCCACCCCTCTTTCTCCATCCACTCAGAAACCTTTGCAGCTCAGCTTCTCATTCTTCATGACCAGATTTAACATTTTTCCAGACTTAATTTCTAGAGATCTAAATGTTCCCAGGGGAGGTTTTGGTGTTGTACAAAAGCTGACGTTTAACTCGGCTTTCGTACAACACCAAAAATTAATGGAGGATGGACAAGGTGGATGTACAGAAGACGGCCACTGAAAAAAAAAAAAAGTTAACAAATTTTTTATTTATTTTATTTCAGTTTTATATGGGAAAAAAGTCAGAATTCTGAGAAAAAAATCAGAGTTCTGAGAAAAGTCACAAT